GTGCCCGAGAGTTCAGTGTTCACGCCGGGCTGGGCGGTGGGGCCCGTGGGTGTCTGCCGGCCTCCCTGGGCCCCGCGTGCCCTCACCTTGAGCTGGGACTTGGAGACCTTGCCGCTCTTCTCCACGTCCAGCGCGGTGAAAGCGTACCAGATGGACTTCAGCAGCTCCTTTCGCAGGGCCATGGCTGAGGCGCCCGCCCACGGTGGCTCTGACACCGAGATCCGGTTTCAGGAAATGCAAACGGTTGCCGAGACCACAGAGGGGCTGGCGCGGGGCGAGAGCTCCACCTGCCTGCTCGCCGGCTGCCTGTGCTGACTGGCGGGGCCAGCCTGTCGCTCCTGCAGGGCTCCGTGGCTCCACTCGCCAAGGCAGCGACGCCCGAGCCCCAGAGCTGGGGCCCCAGGTCTGTTCCGCTGGCCCCGGGGCTGCCAGAGACGGCCTGCTGCGGGCAGATGCAGGCCCAGCCTGGCTTTGGAGTCACATGGGGATGAGGGGGGTCCTGTCTCATTCCACACTTACCAGATCCGACATAAACTGCTTAACCTCCTCGAGCAGCTTCCCCATTGGTAAAGCAGGAGAAACACCCAGCCCCCGAGTTGTAAGAAGGCCCGAAAGCGGCTGTAAGCAGAGTAGGCGCTGGACAAAGCATTCCTTCAGTGCCATCTGACAGGACGGGGGCTGGGGGCTCCTCCCAGGCAGGAGGAGACAAAGGCAGCGGCACAGAACAGTGGGACTGGGCCAGGGCTTCTCCAGGTCAGGCGGACCTGGCACGTGACCTGCTGCCTCCCATCCTCCGGGCTTTGGCGCTAAAGGCACTCGGGCCCCTGGCCCTGAAGACCAGGCTGTCTGAGGCACACAGGGTGGGGTGGCAGAGGCTTGGGGCCCGGGGTCCAGAGCAGTGCTTCCAGTTGTTTTAGATCCAGGGCCCATCGGGGCCCGGACACCTCCCGCCGGGTACAGGGGTCATGGATGTTGAAGGTGCCAACTTAGGCGTTTGAGAAATCGCCTCCCTGGGGCGTGGCCCGGGCCCCCTGCCTCCATGGAGCAGGTGCAGGGTAAGTGGGACCATGCTAGGCATCCCAGGAGAGGAGAGGACACGTGGGCTGGGAGAGAGGGTTCCATTCCTGGGTGGTAGGAAGTGGCCTGGGGCACCTCCAATCCCTGCAATGTTCCCAGGTAGGAGGGGTCAGACCCAAACATTCTTTCCATCAAATCCCTTCTCCCGCAGCCCTTCCCTCCTGTCAGGGCGGTCTGGTCCGACCACAGTTTTTGGTGGGTCTGACTGTGGTTTTGGAATTCCATGACATGGCTCCAGACACCGAGGTGGGCACCCTCAGAGCTGGGTACCACAGCCAGGACTTCAGCACCAGGGACCCTCAGTAACCTGAGCAAAGGTACCCCTGCCCCCTCCGACGTGGGGCTTTGTCCACTTGGAGCAGCTGACTGGGTCTGGACGGGCTCTGACTACGTAACACAGGGTCAGAGATCCCACCAGAACCTGGAAGCAGTGGTCACACTGGTCCTGCTTGACCACCGTGAAGCCCACCTGATCGGCTGTGGGCAGGAAGCCACTGGCAGCTCCTCAGGGCTACCTCCCACCTGTGCCCTGGGAGGGCAGTCCCACCAGTCCAGCACCAAGGCTCCATGGCGTTTGTGCCAGGGATACAGAGCTAAGTGCCTGATTTGACCGGCCCGGTCAACAGGGCTCAAAGCTGAAAGAAATGGAGGGACCCAGGTGGAAACTTGAAACTTTATTAAATACTCATTCACCCGTTTGCCACCACTGCTCACAGCAGGAAAAAATTATCAAAATGCAATTTAGAAAATTCAACCCAACCCCCAGTATGTATAGGCTGTTCCTTGCCTCTACCACAGAGGTTGAGGGGCAGATGGGGGTGGGGGGCGGTCGGGCACCTTTGCTACAGCCACAGGCCCCTGAGCAATTCTGACTGTGGCGGCAGGAGGTACCCCGCTGCCAGGTGACCAGGCCCCGCTGGCCTCTGGGGAGGCGGTTATTGCTGGGAGGGCGGGGCTGGGACTGTTCTGTTCCTACTGGGCTGAAGGCCTGTCTGCCTCTCTCCTGGTGGACAGCGACCAGTCCGAGCGGATGACCAATCCCCACAGAAGCCCCAATTGCCACCTGAGAAGGGGAGTGGGAGGGCAGGAAGGGTGTTCTCTGGAGAGAGGACAGTGGGTGCCCAGCTGATTTTGAGGGGAGGACGCCCCGGTGCAGCCTGGTGACCACGCCTGTCCTTGGCTCCTGAGGATGACGCACTCCCCTGATTCCGGCCGTCCAGCCCTCCTCTTGGGCAGGGCTCCCATCCCCGTCAGTTAGGCCATTTTCCTGCTGTCTTCTCACCCTGGAGACTACGTGGCCACCTCCACGTGTCAGCCTCGGCCTGCGCCTTGGAGGTGAGGATGGCTATGCGGCACGGTGCCTCCTCCATGTTGGGACCCAGCCCTCCAGGACTCAGCAGCCGCTCCCTGTCTCTGTGGCCTCCAAGGTCACGGCCCCTTGCTGCATGGCAGCCGTGGCCACGCTGAGGGCCTCCTCCAAGGTCTGCTGCTCCTCCAGCTGTGGAGAGAGGAGAGAGTGAGACCCTCTTCTAGGTTCGAGGGATGGTGGTATGTGGCCTACTTTTTGAATTCCCTCCATCCCCCAGTGCCACACTGAACACTTAGTGGCGCCCCATTAACAGGAGGTTCACTGATGAAGAGTCCTGTTAGGCTAGGTATGGCCAGGGAGCCACAGAATGGTCCAGGGTCAGAGAGACGGGCTTGTTCATAGAAGGGAACAACTGGTTGGAGAGCCTCCTTCTTTTCCTGGTGAGGAAATAAAACTAGGAAGAGACGAAGGGTTTAGACCACCAGGTAGACTGCCACTGAAGTTACTGTGAAGGCTGGAAGGGGCTGCTCCACTCTGCCTCAGTCAAGAAAGGGCCGAGACAGGCATGTGGATGTAGGAAGAAAGGGATATTTTCTGTGAAGTGAGCCCCTTTTGAGCCAAATGCCCTTCTCAAGATCTCCATCTAACTCCTCTCCCCTCCTGGCTCCTTTCTCTGGTGTTGGGATCCTCCCAGACCTCTACCCACCTGCACAGCAATGTGCGTTCCGTTGGCTGTGGCCAACAGCGCCACCTGTTGATGATGAAGGGGTGCTACACTTGAGTCATCGGCCACCACAGCCCCAGAGGTAATGATTGTGACCTGAAATACAGATGAAAGAGGTTTTCCAGCTCGCCTACATTACTCTCCCTCCCTGCAATCCAAACAAATCCCTCCAATAAGAAGGCTGGGAAAACCCTGAAGAGAACGGCTCAAACCATCTGGATCAGATTAATTGGGGTTCAGAGCTCACTGAGGCTGTGTTTTTCTCTAAATTAATTTAGGGATTTTGAGTCATAGGACAGAGCTGTAAAAGGCCCCACAGACCATTTAACTCCCTCATTTGAAATGGACAGAAAGGCATAAAAAGTGACTTGCCTGTGGTAGCAAACAGATAAGGGATAGATTGAGATTTCAAACTGCTTCTCCCCAGGGAACGGCTGATGGGAATGCCCTTTTTGTAGGGGAATCTGGGTCCCCATAAGAAAGCTTGACTAGTTCAGCCTGCACTTAAATGTCCACCCAACGGAAAGGAAGGACAAGAGAACAAGAAGCCCCAAGCAAGCTGCCTGGTCATACGGGCTGCGTCTGGGAGCCATCGGCGCGGACCATGGTGACTGTATGTGTGCCCGATGCGGCAAGGGTATCGTCGGGACGGGGGATGGCGAGGGTGGTGCTGCTGTGCTGGGTCACCATGCTGATGGCACTTCCCAGGGCCTGCAGGTCTTCCGGGGACAGGCTGACCTGCCAACAGGAAGGAGGAGGGTGAGCTGGGAGTGCAGTGGTGGGCTGTCTGGGAGCCCTGGGAGGATGTTTCCCTCCTCCCGAACAAGGTTAACTTATCGGTAACCTAGGAGATGGGCTGCACATCACAGGTGGTCAGGGACAAGCAATGAAACAGGTCCTGGGCTGTACAGAGGCTACACTGGACCTTCCGCTGACCACGTCCATTACCACCACTTTGCCGCAGGGTTCTGTTCCATGCCACCCAGGGTCTCCACCTAATCCATCCTATGCCAACTCCCGAAGGCACAGTGCACTTGACAGTGAGGGCGCTGACAGGTCAGGGTTATTGCTGGCTAGAATCGCCACCCCGTGCTCTGGCCTCTGCACCAGCACGCCTCTCTTGAGAAGGACACCCAAGTGCCTCATTCAAGTGGTCAGGACCTTCAGCCTCCAAGTAAGGAGGGCACCTCACTGTGCTCCAGAAGCCCAGAGGCCCCTGGAAGCATGAGGAGAGGCTGTTACCAGACAGCCTCAGCTCGCTGACAGCCAGAGGCCAGAGAGGAACTGGGTGGAGGTGGGGCTATCAGAGCTTCCAGGCTCCCCACAGAGAGGGAGAAGGTACTAGCCAGAGTGCCCCCCCCCTACCCCCGCCCCAGGCCGGTACCTGCTGGGCACCATCCTGAGTGATCAAAGCCACCTGGGGGGCCCCGCTCTCCTCGGTCACCATAGCCACTTGGGCTGGGACGTCCTCGCCCTCTTCTTTCACCTCCGAACGGTAAGCAACGCGAGGCCGTTTGGGCGGCGGGCTCTCCTCGGCGGCAGAGGCGGCTGGGAGGGGAGAGCCCAGGCTGACACCTGCCACCGGGTGGCCACGGGGAGGCCTGGCTTGTCCCCTCTCACCTCCGGCCCAGGCCCCTCACCCTCGAGCTGCTGCTGCTCATAGAGGGCCTGCTCGCTCTCCTCGGTGGCCTCCAGCTCGCCATGGGCGCTGCGCTTGTGCATGGCCAGGGTGGAGGTCTGCCGGTAGGTCTTGCCGCAGGTGCTGCAGGTGTAGGGCTTGCAGTGTGTGTGCACCACGTGGTGCTTATACAGGCTCGAGTACTCGGTGAAGCGCTTCCCACAGCCTGGCACCGTGCAAACGTATGGCTTCTCCCCTGGGGACACTGGGCTGTGAGGGGGGTGGGAACTGGGGCTGGCAAGGGGAAATCTAAGGGGACGGGGTGGGGGGTAGGGTTGGTGAAGAGAGTGCCAGAGGGAGGGGGAGGCACTAAGACCTGGAACTCTAAGTGGACAGACTTGGGGAAGATGGCCAGTGGAATAGAGGGGACATGAATGCGGGGCTGCTGGAGACAGATGGAGAGAAAATGGGGGGCTGGGCAAAGCTGGGGCTAAGGAAGGGGCTGGAGGGGAGCACTGGGGTCTGTGAGGCTGAGGGTCGTGAAGAGAAGAGGCAGAGGATGGAGAGGATGACTGTCGTGATGGGTGCAATGCAGAGTGAGGGGACCGAAGGCTGGACGAGGAGCCCAACACTGGGGAGGGCGAGGATGCGCCAGTCATAGGACAGTGGATGAGGCGAGGAGCTGAAGGGGACATTTCCCTCAGCCGTGTCCCCCTCATGCCTGACCCTGGCCTGCTGCTGGGTGCTCAGCTGGAGGGGCAGATTCAGAGTGGAGAGAGGTGGCAGGGAGCTGGGAGGGCAGGCAATACCTGTCAGATTGCACAGTGCAAGTGAAACGGTGGTTCCGAGGGCATGGCCGGAACCGCAGAACCCCCTCGCCCCGCCCACAGACCAGCCTGACCGGCCAGAAGCCTACAGTGAAGGGCGGGGCCTCGGAGGGCATCCTGCATGCCAGCTGG